TAGACTTCATTTAATAAGCTTTGCCAAAATTCGTGCACATCAAATGATTTTCAGGGGCTTTGGTGCACCATTTACCTAAAATCGGGCGAAACTATATATGGGAGCTATATCTGAATCTGAACCGATTTTCATGAAACTCAGCACACATCATTCTAGACCTAATTTAGTAGGCTATACCAAATTTCGTGCAAATCGAAAGATATATAGGGACCGTTTACATTAAATCGGACGAAATTATATATGGGAGCTATTTCTAAATCTGAACCGATTTTCTCCAATTTCAATAGGGTTCCTTGGGCCAAATTAGTGACATGTGCTAAATTTCATCCAAATCGGATCATAAATGCGACCTGTACTTTGTTCACAAAAATACATGGGCGGACAGACGGACGGACGGACAGACGGACATGCATAAATCGACTCAGAAAGTGATTCTATGCATATTCTCAAAAGGAACCATGGGTCTAAATCGATTATTTTTGCATGTTACAAACATATGCAAAAAGACATAATACCCTGTACCACAGTGTGGTGAAGGGTATAAAAATCCTGGAGATAAAAGTAGTATCTCTACAAAATTTAAAATCTCTATGTTAATTATACCCTTCACCACACTGTGGTACACGGTATTATGTCTTTGTGCATATGTTTGTAACAGGCAAAAATAATCGAGATAGACCCATGGTTCCTTTTGAGAATATGCATAGAATCACTTTCTAAGTCGATTTATGCATATCCGTTCGTCCGTCTGTCTGTCTGTCCATGTTAAATTGTGAACAAAGTACAGGTCGCATTTATGATCCGAATTGGATGAAATTTGGCACAGGTCATTTGGTCGGCCCAAGGACGAACCCTATTGAAATTGGGACAAATCGGTTCAGATTTAGATATAGCTCTCATATATATTTTCGTCCGATTTAAGGTAAATGGTGCACCCAAGTATATATCTTTCGATTTGCACGAAATTTGGCACAGCGTAATGAATAAGGTCACGAATGATCTGTGCAAAGTTTCGTGAAAATCGGTTCAGACTTAGATATAGCTCCCATATATATCTTCGTCCGATTTTAGGTAAATAGTCCACTAAAGTCCCTGGAAATCTTTTGATGTGCACGAAATTTGGCACAGAGTTATGAATAAGATCGAGAATGATGTCTGCTAAGTTTCGTGAAAATAGGTTCAGATTTAGATATAGCTCCCATATGTATTTTCATCCGATTTAAGGTAATTGGTGCACCAAAGACCCTACATATATCTTTCGATATGCACGAATTTTGGTATAGGGTACTGAATAAAGTCTAGAATGATGTTGCTAAGCTTCGTGAAAAGATCCATAGCTAGGCCGATTGACACAACGAACTGATGTTATATAAATTAGTCTTTGGCAAGTTTCCCTGAAATCGGTTCAGATATAGATTTATAACAAAACGCGTCGTCTGTTAGGATACATATGTAAAATATACCCAAAGTGGTGAAGGGTATCATATAGTCGACCCAGTCCGACTTTACTACTTTCCTTACTGGTTTTTTATTGCGACCTCTATCGCGATTTAACAGATTTTACAGCCCCTTCGATTGAGATTAGGAAGAAAAACGATAACCCAACCCTTCACCTTTTCACTTCTTAATCTAAAAATTCACGACCTGACGAGTAAAATCGGAACTCTAATTGTTGAAGAGGTTTATTTCTTGGCTATGAATTTTGTAAATCCTCTATGATGGTATTTGTCTAAGCTAAGTTGCGCCATCTATATGTCGTTTTAGCCACCACTTACGAAGTTAGTAATTCACCATTAAAATATTTCGAAGCCACAGAATTAACAGCTACAGTGTCAAAAAAAAATGTGATGCAAAAGTACGTTGTTAAAAAAATGATTTTCTAAAAATAACTTTTAAAGATCCACGCCAATAGTTGGTGCATGAAAATGCATGCTTATAGTTGTTCGTTGAAAAAAATATTTTTTTAAAAAATTCAAGCATTCGGCTGGTCCCTGAAAAAAATTCTTTAAAAATACACCCTACTGTTGACCTTTAAAAATATTCTTTTAAAAATGTAAGTAAGCCTATTGTTGGTCGTTCGAAATATATTTGTTGGTCCTTATAAAAATTCACTCCCATCGCCTATAGGTAGTCCTTGAAATATATTCTTTATTCCACGCCTAGTTAGTTAGTTCAGTGACAAATATTCTTAAAATTCCTTGGTCTTGGTCCTTGAAAAAATACTTCAAAATTCTTCGCCTGTACTTGGTCCTTGAAAAATACTTTTTTTAGTCTCCACACATAGTTCGTCCTGGAACAAATATTTTTTTAAAAATCCACGCCTATAGTTGGCCCTTAAAAAAATATTCTTTAGAAATGCAAATGGTTACAATTACCATGTGGAAACTCGTTGTTGTAACTCACATGATGGGGATTCACCTGGGGCACCGAAGTCAGTGACATGTTAATTAGTGCATTAGGAAAAGTGAGAGGAGATAACGAAATCTGTATGAATAAGCTAAACCGCAAAACGTTATGTGCCTAAACCTAATTAACCAAACATTAAATGAAAAAAAAATTGATCTGGGCTTAGTCGTTACCAAGATGTGGTCAGTGGCAAACCAGTCTTCAGTTTTGCATCAAACAATAACTAATAAGAACAAAAACAACAAAAGGTAAAAAAAATCATGAATGAGTAAGATGTTATTTACACGAAACACAGAAATGTTCCCACCTTTGCCCCATATAAAACTCACACTAATCCAGAATTTTTCTTTAGTTATTCTTCGGTCTTTGACTGACAAACATCCTGGGGCGTTTTATTTGTTCTTTGTTAAATAACAACAAAAAAATGTGGAAATTCTCTATAGTGTCGATCGGTCTTATTTTGAGTTTCTCTCAAATTTTGATTGAGGCTAGTGGCGATTCGAATTCCAGCAATTGTCCGCGTATCAAACTCAAACGTCAATGGGGTGGTAAACCGAGCACAATCATCAATTACCGTCCCGTTCCAGTGAAATATGTAATTATCCATCACACGGTAACAAAGGAATGTTTTAAATTTTTGGATTGTGCCGAAATTTTACAAAATATGCAACATCATCATATGAGTGTGTCGGATTTTGATGACATTGCTTACAAGTGAGTGTGTGTGTGCAAGAATAATATATTTTAAAGAACCAATTATAGGCGTGGATTTTTAAAGAATATTTTTTTCAAGGACCAACTAACAATAGGCGTGGATTTTTAAAGAATATTTTTTTCAAGGACCAACTAACAATAGGCGTGGATTTTTAAAGAATATTTTTTAAGGACCAAATATAGGCGTGGATTTTTAAAGAATATTTTTTAAGGACCAAATATAGGCGTGGATTTTTAAAGAATATTTTTTAAGGACCAAATATAGGCGTGGATTTTTAAAGAATATTTTTTAAGGACCAAATATAGGCGTGGATTTTTAAAGAATATTTTTTAAGGACCAAATATAGGCGTGGATTTTAAGGATTTTGTTCAAGGACCAAATATAGGCGTGGATTTTAAGGATTTTGTTCAAGGACCAAATATAGGCGTGGATTTTAAGGATTTTGTTCAAGGACCAAATATAGGCGTGGATTTTAAGGATTTTGTTCAAGGACCAAATATAGGCGTGGTTTTTAAGGATTTTGTTCAAGGACCAAATATAGGCGTGGATTTTAAGGATTTTGTTCAAGGACCAAATATAGGCGTGGATTTTAAGGATTTTGTTCAAGGACCAAATATAGGCGTGATTTTAAGGATTTTGTTCAAGGACCAAATATAGGCGTGGATTTTAAGGATTTTGTTCAAGGACCAAATATAGGCGTGGATTTTAAGGATAATTTTTTCAAGGAACAAATCGTGGATTTTAGGGATTTTTTCAATGACCAAATCGTGGATTTTAAGGATTTTTTTCAAGGACCAACAATAGTAGTGGACTTAAAAAACACTATTTTCTTTGAAGATCAACTATAGGCAAAGATTTTTACAGCATTTTTTTCAAGGTTCAAATATGGGCGAGGATTTTTACAGAAGTACCAACCATAGGCGTCTGTAGCTCTAACAGTTTCGCTTAAATTATATATTATTGAAACCCACACATGTAGTTCTAAAAGTCCTTGTACAAATATTCATTACAAGTCCTATCTCGAAGGACTTTGGATACAAGAAAATATTCTATAATTTTTTTTCATTTCTTTACAGTTTCCTTATCGGAAATGATGGTGTAATCTACGAGGGTACTGGCTGGTATGTTAGAGGTGCCCATACATATGGTTATAATCAAAATGGCATTGGTATTGGATTTATTGGTAATTTCATGGGTAAGAATACTGACATTTGAAAGAATTTTTAAACAGAATCTCCTAAATAAAATTGATATTTGCAGAAAAATTGCCAAATCGCAAAGCCTTGAAGGCAGCAAAAGAACTTTTGGCATGTGGTGTTGCCAAAGGGGCATTGGATCCGCATTATGAACTATTGGGCGCCACACAAGTCTCATCCACAAAAAGTCCAGGTCTGACATTGTACAATGAAATACAGGAATGGGATCATTGGTCAGCACATAAATAGAAGAGAAAATGTATATAGTAAAATTAGTTTTCAATAAATAAATTTGAATATTTTTGTAATTATTATTTTTTTTTTAATTTTTATTAGAGCGAATACCTTATAGTTTTTATAAAATTCCCCTTGTTACTTGTTTAATACTTATATTGATAGTAAATAACATCACATATATTTCTTTGAAAATCTCAAATACTTCGAAGACAATGACTTTCGATTCATTCACATTATGATTAATGGCATCTCCGCTAAAAATGATATTGCAAAAAAATATTAAAAATTATCACTGCTATAAATATTGCATTCACTGCACAATTTGTATGCAGTTAAGTTTTCGATATTATTTAGAGATGTTCTCAATCGTGCGGCTTTTAACTTTCGTTATCGTTTTATTTTTTGCAATTTCCAATTGTCGGGCCGATTGCAATTGTAATTCGTCAATGAATTTCACACCAGATTGCCCTGAAATAAAATGGCGTCATCAATGGGGTAGTAAAACCACAGACAATGTCATCTATCGTCCCATACCGATTAAACGTGTCGTCTTTCATCATACCGTAACGCCGGAATGTTCAAAATTTGAACAATGTTCGAAATTCGTCCAGGATATACAACAGTTTCATGTGAACAAAAAGAAATTTAAGGATATTGGTTACAAGTAAGTGAATAATATTGTAGGTCATGAAAAAAATATTTTTTAAAAATCCACGCCTATTGTAGGTCATGAAAAAAATATTTTTTAAAAATCCACGCCTATTGTAGGTCATGAAAAAAATATTTTTTAAAAATCCACGCCTATTGTAGGTCATGAAAAAAATATTTTTTAAAAATCCACGCCTATTGTAGGTCATGAAAAAAATATTTTTTAAAAATCCACGCCTATTGTAGGTCATGAAAAAAATATTTTTTAAAAATCCACGCCTATTGTAGGTCATGAAAAAAATATTTTTTAAAAATCCACGCCTATTGTAGGTCATGAAAAAAATATTTTTTAAAAATCCACGCCTATTGTAGGTCATGAAAAAAATATTTTTTAAAAATCCACGCCTATTGTAGGTCATGAAAAAAATATTTTTTAAAAATCCACGCCTATTGTAGGTCATGAAAAAAATATTTTTTAAAAATCCACGCCTATTGTAGGTCATGAAAAAAATATTTTTTAAAAATCCACGCCTATTGTAGGTCATGAAAAAAATATTTTTTAAAAATCCACGCCTATTGTAGGTCATGAAAAAAATATTTTTTAAAAATCCACGCCTATTGTAGGTCATGAAAAAAATATTTTTTAAAAATCCACGCCTATTGTAGGTCATGAAAAAAATATTTTTTAAAAATCCACGCCTATTGTAGGTCATGAAAAAAATATTTTTTAAAAATCCACGCCTATTGTAGGTCATGAAAAAAATATTTTTTTAAAAATCCCCGCCTATTGTAGGTCATGAAAAAAATATTTTTTAAAAATCCACGCCTATTGTAGGTCATGAAAAAAATATTTTTTTAAAAATCCACGCCTATTGTAGGTCATGAAAAAAATATTTTTTTAAAAATCCACGCCTATTGTTGGTCCTACAAAAAATATTCTTTAAAAATCCACGCCTATTGTAGGTCATGGGAAAAATAATCTTTAAAAATCCAAGGCTATTTTAGGTCATGGAAAAAATTATCTTTAAAAATCCACGCCTATTACTACTTAGCTGGCTTGTGACAGAAATTTCGTTCCATAAGCCCAGCTTAGAAAAGATTTCCAGGCGCGTCGGTCTTTTGCGAAGTTTTTCCAATTTGAAAGACCATTTTCGGCAATGTTGTCTTCGACTTGATCTTTCCATCGTATTCTTGGTCTTCCCCTTCTGCGTGAACAATCAGCTGGTTCGCTTTAATATGCCCTCTGGGCTCCATTCTCACAACATGACCTAGCCAACTTAGTCGCTGCAACTCAATACGTCTAACAATGCCGATGCCCGAGAATAGCAGGTACAACTCATGGTTCATTCGACGCCGATATTCACCGTCAACGCAGATCGGCCCATCGATCTTTCGGAGAATTTTTCTCTCAAAAACGCCAAGAGCTGCCTCATCTGCTTGGCAAGTACCCATGCTTCAGATCCATATAACAGCACGGGTAGTATCAGCATCTTGTAGAGTGTGGGTTTGGTCTGGCGGGCCATCACTTTCCTTCTCCGAATTTCAAAACTAATTCATTTTGTTTATGGCGGTACCAAAGTATATAAAATCTTTGACTACCTCGAAGCTGTAGCTCTCAAGTTCCACAGTTGGTCCGAGCCTACTGGGCGTCTTGAGCGTTGACACAATCAGCTTGGTCTTCTCGCCGTTTACTGCCAGACCCACTTTGGCACACTCCTTCTCAATTTGTTCAAAGGTGGCTGTTACCGCTCTCAGAGTTCGACACATTATGTCGTAGGCGAGTAACACGTGTTTTTTGGTGTACAGAGTGCAACTTCTGTTCACTTTTGCCTCTCGTATGACCTTTTCCAGCAGGATGTTAAAAATGTCACACGACAAACTGTCACCTTGTCTGAATCCTCGTTCGGTATTAAAGGGCTCCGAGAGGTCCTTTCCTACTTTAACTGCTGATCTTGTGCCACTTAAAGTTATCCTGCATAGCCGTATTAATTTTGCAGTAATGCCAAACGCAGACATGGCTTTAAACACCTCTGAACGAATAGGGCTGTCAAATGCGGCTTTATAGTCGACAAATAGGTGGAATGTGTCGATGTGTTTTTCGTGGGGGTTTTTCCAGGATTTGGTGCAGAGTGAAAATCTGGTCAATGGTGAATTTGCCAGGTCTGAAGCCGCATTGGTATGGTTCAATAATGTCATTGACCATTGGCTTCAGTCGTTCACACAGTACGCTGGATAGTACTTTATGTGCGATGGGAAGGAAACTTATTCCTCTATAGTTGGCACATATCGTCTTGTCTGCTTTTTTGTGCACGGGATATAGGGTGCTGAGATTCCAATCATTGGACATGCATTCTTCTAGCCAAATTGTACTAATCACCTGGTACATGCTCTTTACCAGCATCTGACAACCAGTCTTGAATAGTTCGGTTTGTAACCCATCGGTACCTGCTGCTTTATATTTCTTCAGCCGATTGATTGCTATTCAGACTTCATCTTGACTAGGTGGTGTACACTCTATACCGTCATCTATTATTGGTTCTAGGGTATCCTCTTCACCGCTACTATTTGATACCAGAAGTTTTTCAAAATGCTCCTTCCAGATCCTCAGCACGCTGTCTGTATCTGTCACCAGGTTTCCTTCTTTATCTCTACAGGAAGATGTGCTTGCACCAAACCGAAGGCTTTGGTGTTTTACCCGTTTGATTTGATCACGCTTTTTTGTTCTTTCTTCTTTTTTTCTGAAAATACGTTTCTCCTCTCTCCTTTTCTTCCGATAGTTTTCCATCGCATTACGTATTGCTACTGCCCGCAGGGTTGCCCTATACGCTGCGTTTTTTTCATGTCAGTAGCATTACGACACTCCTGATCGTACCACGGTTTTCTTGATGGTGGTCTTTGTATTGCTTTTGCTGCAGTTTGTAGATAGTGGACAATTCTCTACCATTGTGCTTCTATATTTTTCGGGGCCAGGGGTGCTTTCGTCAAGCCGTTGGGTAAGTTGAGCGGAGTAGGTTTCTGCTATCTGTTGTGTTTGCAGCTTTTCGACGTCAAATTTCCGTGTTACATTAGATCGTAGCTTTGCTGCTACATTAAGACGGGTGCGTACATTGCCTGCCACAAGGTAATGGTCCGAATCGATATTCGCTCCTTATCGCATTACGTGTTGCTTCTGTCTGCAGGGTTGCCCTATACGCTGCGTTTTTTTTTCATATCAGTAGCATTACGACACTCCTGATCGTACCACGGGTTTCTTTATGGTGATTTTTGGTACCGAAGTGTTGCTTTTGCTGCAGTTGGTAGAGAGTGGGCAATTCTCTGCCATTGTGCTTCCATATTATTATCGGGACCAAGGGGGCAAGGGGGCGTGTTACATTAGATCGCACCTTTGCTGTTACATTAAGACGGTTGCGTATCTTGGCTGCCACAAGGTAATGGTCCGAATCGATATTCGCTCCCCGGATCGATCGGACGTCTAAAACACTGGATGAATACCTTCCGTCTATCAAAACACGATAGATTTGGTTCCTCGTTGTTCGATCGGGAGAAATCCAAGTGGCCTTGTGAGATGCTTGAATGTGGAATCGAGATACTGTTGTCGTTGTTGTAGCAGTTTGTATGAATTGTATGTTTCCTGTTAAGTTTCCTCCAGTTCTATCTCCAGATTTAGAAATGCAGCTACCGCCACTGGCTGTAACCACAGATCTTCCGGAGTGAGGTGAGTAGGTTTGGCTGGGAAATTGAACAAGTGCAGTGTGGTATGAAGGCCTGTACCACATGCTGGGCAGACATCCTGCACCTGGTCATCAATCCGTGCCCAATACGAATTGAGCCGAGTGCACCATCCAGAACGTAACTGAGACAAAACTACTCTGGTTTGTCTGTGCAGCTGACGTTCTTTAGCTGCTATGGGTCGGGGGTGAGCTCCGGGGACGGCATTCACTTTGTAACCGTTCAGCGCTGTGGCTACTGCATCTCTATGAATGCCATTCAGACCTGCTCGATAGGCAACTTGATCTAGATGCTCCCTTTTGTATCGTTGGACCTCTCTCTCTAGATCATGCAGATTCTTCCTGACACGCCTGGGTGGGGGAGTCCTATCCACCATATGATGGTTGGGATGATCGTCCCTGAAACACCCGAGCAGGTACTGCAACGAAAGCATATTGCTATGCTGACGTACGGGAAGGATCTTTGTCTCCTCATGAAGATGATCCACTGGTGTCATGAGGAGGCAAACTGTCGCTGTCCTCAGGGCGGCATTCTGACAGGTCTGCATATTTCTCCATTGCGTATCATTGGAATTCGCAGACCACACTGGAACCGCATAGCTAGCCACAGACCGACCTATCGCTTTGTAAGAGGACAACAAGGTTTCCTTATCTGCGCCCCAAGTGCTGCCGGCAAGCGACTTGAGGACCTTGTTCCTACTTTTCAGCTTATCGCAGATAGCTGTGGTTTGCGCGGACGATTTGAACATGCTGTCGAATGTGACCCCGAGTATTTTGGGGTAGTTGGTGGTGGGAATTGTATGCCCCTCGACCTGCACATTCAACGGCATTCTCATCTCCGCAGTCCATGTGGTGAATAGTGCGGCTGACGACTTCGAGGCGGATATTTTCATATTCCTCGCTTTGATCGATGAGATAGGCGTTCAACCTCATACATATGTCTTCAACAATGGGACCCGACGCCATAATCGTACAATCATCTGCATACGTAACGATTTCAATGCCGTCCGGAGGGCGTGGAATACCGAAAAGGTAGAGGTTAAACAGTTCCGGAGAAATCACACCACCCTGGGGAACTCCCTGTTTAACTCTACTGGGTTTGGAGTTTGTTTGGAATCGAGATACTTGAATCTGGTGCTGCTAACTACCATGTTTTTTGCTGCCGCGAATCATACCTATAGTTACTCCTTGATTTTTTTTTTAAATCCACGCTTTTAGTTAGTCCTTTAAAAAAATATTTCTTAAAAATCAACGACAAATGTTTTTAGACCTTAAGAAATCTACGCCTTTCTTGAAAAAATGATTCCTTAAAACCCCAAGCCTATAGTTGGTCATGGAAAAAATATTATTTTCAAATCCACGTCTTTCGAACTTCATCTAAAATTATATTTTAATATTTATTCTTTTTACTATTTTTTTAAATGTCGACGAATTGAAACTGTCTTTACTTATCTTCAATTCTATGCAAATATGTACCATCAGCAATATGTTTGTAGGTATGTATGTATAACACATACCATACATCTTCATTATCACGATCTCCCGAACAAAAAACATAATTTAAACGACAAAAAATCCCCATTGCAAAAAAACCTCTTTCTCATTCTCGCTCTCAACCACGCTTCAATAGTTTCGAATGTTTGCAAATATTTAAATATTATTACAATTTCGAATATGTTCTCAGTCGTTCCATAGCATCTCATTATTTAACATTCCGCGAAGAAGATTTCGCTTTAAATTAAAACTGCAAACAACGACAACAACAACAACAATGCTATTTAAAATCGTTTACCGGTTTCTGGCTATCGCTTGCTTCACTTATGTCGTCTCGGGTGCCGATTGTCCGCGTATCAAACTGAAACGTCAATGGGGTGGCAAATTAAGTAAAGACATCGATTTCCGACCCTTGCCGGTAAAATATGTGATCGTCCATCACACCGTCACGCCGGAATGCAGCGATTTTCTCCAGTGTGCCCAACTTTTACAAAATATGCAGCACTTTGGCATAACGGAGCAGGGATTGGATGATATCGCCTATAAGTGAGTTCAGGTGGAGTTTTATGGGACCAAACTATAGTCATGGATTTTTAAAAAACAAAGAATATTTGTTCAAGAACCAACTATAGGCGTGGATTTTTAAAAAATATTTTGGAGGACTAATTATAGGCGTGCTTTTCTTAAAGAATATTCTTTTTTTTGGGATTTTAAAAAAATATTTTTTCGGTGACCAATTATAGGCATGGATTTTTAAAGAATATTTTTTCCATGACCTACAATAGGCGTGGATTTTTAATGAATACTTATACCCTTCACCGCACTGTGGTACAGGGTATTATGTCTTTGTGCATATGTTTGTAACAGGCAAAAGGAAACGAGATAGAAATAGAATTACTTTCTGAGTCGATTTACGCATGTCCGTCTGTCCGTCTATCCGTCCATGTATTTTTGTGAACAAAGTACAGGTCGCATTTATGATCCGATTTGGATGAAATTTGGCATAGGTCACTTATTTGGCGCAAGGACGAACCCTATTGAAATTGGGAAAAATCGGTTCAGATTTAGATATAGCTCCCATATATATTTTCATCCGATTTAATGTAAAAAAGTCCCTATATATCTCTCGATTTGCACGAAATTTGGCACAGCGTAATGAATTAGGTGTAGAATGATGTTTGTTAAGTTTCCTAAAAATCGGTTCAGATTTAGATATAGCTCCCATATATATCTTCGTCCGATTTAAGGTAAATTGTGTCCAAAGTCCCTATATATCTTTTGATTTTCCCGAAATTTGGGACAGCGTAATGAATTAGGTCTAGAGTGATGTATGTTAAGTTTCCTGAAAATCGGTTCAGATTTAGATATAGCTCCCATATATATTCTCGTCCGATTTAATGTAAATGGTGTCCAAAGTCCCTATATATCTTTTGATTTGCCCGAAATTTGGCATAGCGAAATGGATTAGGTCTAGAATAATGTGTGTTAAGTTTCCTGAAAATCGGTTCAGATTTAGATATAACTCCCATATATATTTTCGTTCGATTTAATGTAAATGGTGCACCGAAGTCCCTATATATCTTTCGATTTGCACCAAATTTTGCATAACGTACTGAATTGAGCATAGAGTGATGTCTGCCAAGTTTCGAGAAAATCGGTTCAAATTTATATATAGCTCCCATATATATTTTCGTCCGATTTAACGTAAATGGTGTACCAAAGTCCCTATATATCTTTCGATTTGCACGAAATTTGGCACAGCGTAGTGAATTAGGTGTAGAATGATGTGTATTAAGTTTCCTGAAAATCGGTACAGATTTAGGTATAGCTCCCATATATATCTTCGTCCGATTTAATGTAAATGGTCCACCAAAGTCCCTATATATCTTTCGATTTGCACGAAATTTGGCACAGCGTAATGAATTAGGTCTAGAATGATGTGTGTTAAGTTTCCTGAAAATCGGTTCAGATTTAGATATAGCTCCCATATATATTTTCGTCCGATTTAATGTTAATGGTGTATCAAAGTCCCTATATATCTTTCGATTTGCACGAAATTTGGCACAGCGTAGTGAATTAGGTGTAGAATGATGTTTGTTAAGTTTCCTGAAAATCGGTTCAGATTTAGATATAGCTCCCATATATATCTTCGTCCGATTTAAGGTAAATTGTGTCCAAAGTCCCTATATATCTTTTGATTTTCCCGAAATTTGGAACAGCGTAATGAATTAGGTCTAGAGTGATGTATGTTGAGTTTCCTGAAAATCGGTTCAGATTTATATATAGCTCCCATATATATTTTCGTCCGATTTAACGTAAATGGTGTACCAAAGTCCCTATATATCTCTCGATTTGCACGAAATTTGGCATAGCGAAATGAATTAGGTCTAGAATGATGTATGTTAAGTTTCCTGAAAATCGGTTCAGATTTGGATATATCTCCCATATATATTTTCGTCCGTTTTCTGGTGAATGATACAGCAAATTTGTCCGATTGAGCAAAATTGTGTATAGCCAATGCAATTGAGGAAACAAATTATGTATGATAAGGTTTTCTGAAATCGGTTCAGATTTTGATATATGTCTTATATATTTTCGTTCGATTTTATGTAAATAGTGCACCGAAGGGCCTATGTTTGTTCAATTTACACGAAATTTGGCAGAGGGTATTAAATTGAATATTGAGTGATAACAAAAAAAATATGTATGCAACGGAACATCTCTTGTATGTACCCAAAGTGGTGAAGGGTTCATATAGTCGACCCCGTCCGACTTTTGAACTTTCCTTACTGTTTAAAGAATATTTTTTCCATGACCTACTATAGGTGTGGATTTTAAATATATATATATATATATATATATATTTAAGCCCTACTATAGGCGCGGATTTTTAAAGAAATATTTTTTAAGACATACTATATTTTAAAAAAATATTTTTTTAAGACCTACTATAGGCGTGGACTTTTAAAAAATATATTTTTAAGACCTACTATAGGCGTGGATTTTTAAAAAAATATTTTTTAAGACCTAGTATATTTTAAAAAAATATTTTTTTAAGACCTACTATAGGCGTGGATTTTTAAAAAATATTTTTTAAGACCTACTATAGGCGTGGAAAAAAAAATATTTTTTTTTACACCTACTTTAGGCGTGGATTTTTAAAAAAATATTTTTTTAAGACCTACTATAGGCGTGGATTTTTAAAAAATTATTTTTTAAGACCTACTATAGGCGTGGATTTAAAAAAAAAATATTTTTTTAAGACCTACTATAGGCGTGGATTTTTAAAAAAATATTTTTTTCAAAGCGTGGATTTTTAAAAAATATTTTTTTTTCAAAAACTCAAATAAGGCGTGGATTTTTAAAAAAATATTTTTTTCAAGCACCCACAAGTCGTAGATTTTTTAAAAAATTATTTTTTAAGACCTACTATAGGCGTGGATTTAAAAAAAAAATATTTTTTAAGGCGTGGATTTTTAAATTTTTTTAAGGTGTGGATTTTTAAAAAAATATTTTTTTAAACCTACTATAGGCGTGGATTTAAAAAAAAAATATTTTTTTAAGACCTACTATAGGCGAGGATTTAAAAAAAAAATTTAAGACCTACTATAGGCGTGGATTTTTAAAAAAATATTTTTTAAGACCTACTATAGGCGTGGATTTTTAAAAAATATTTTTTAAGACCTACTATAGGCGTGAATTTTTAAAATAAAATTTTTTGAGACCTACTATAGGCGTGGATTTTTAAAATAAATGTTTTCGAGACCTACTATAGGCGTGGATCTTTAAAATATTTTTTTTGAGACCTACTATAGGCGTCGATCTTTAAAGAATATAGTTTAGTATTCTTCCCAGAAAATTGCCAATATAGGTCAATTGGTGTTTAATAAAGCTATTAAATACGACTAGCTTCATTATCCGGTTTTTGAAGTGCCTAACCTTGTCGGAGTGGGATAAATTTTAAATGGCTAGTGCCTTTCTCATCGCTATTCTACCAATTGTTGACTTTACTTTGTTGTCAATTCTGCTGGAAGAATTTACACATTTCAGATTATCAAGAAATAATTGATTGCGAAACGAAAAAATCCCCCCGCTTGATTGCAAAATTCTTTGTTGTTGTTGTTGCTTCTGCTGATTTTGTTGTGTGTATGTGTGTCATTTAAATGCGACTTTTAATTACCTCTCATGAATTTCAATTTTAGTTTCCTTATCGGCGGTGATGGTCTCGTGTACGAGGGGACTGGTTGGCATGTTGCCGGTTCGCATACCTATGGTTATAATCGAAATGGTACCGGCATTGCATTTATTGGAGATTTTAGTGGTAGGTGCGAATGTTTTAAGTGATAACATTTTTTCCTTATAAATGTTTGTTTGTCTTTTTAGCTAAATTACCTTCGAGCAAAGCTTTAGGTGCTGCCAAACATCTGTTGAAGTGTGGCGTCGAAAATGGTGCCTTGGATGCAAATTATGAATTGTATGCGGCCTCTCAAGTTATATCGACCCAAAGTCCTGGCTTGATTCTGTACAATGAAATACAAGAATGGGATCATTGGTCACCAAATCCCTGAAAATGTGATGGAAATTAAAAAAAAAAATAATAAAAAAAAATAAATTACAGAAAAACAAACTGACTAATTATAGCCACTTCGGTAGTGCCCAAAGTGAGTCGGGACATTTATATGGAGACCTTGTCAAAGCGGGAACGTAATAAAGGCGTGAAATATTTTTTCATGGGCCAATTATGGATATTTTTTAAAGACCAATTATAGGCATGGATTTTTAAAAATTATTTTTTCATTCACAAATATTTTTAGGACCACCTATAGGCGTAGATTGAACAAAAATATTTTTAGGACCATCTATAGCCGTGGATTTAAAAAAGACCCAACTAAAGGTGTGGACTTTTAAAGAATATTTTTTTCAAGGACCAACTGGATATTTAAAGAATATCTTTTTAAGGAATTAAAATATTAGACATGGATTTTTAAAGATTTTTTTTCAAGGAATAACAATTTTTAAAGAATTTTTTTTTTCAAGGAATACAAATTTTAGGCTTGATTTTCAAAGAATATGTTTTCAAGGACCAACTGTAGGCGTGGTCGTGAATTATTAAAGAATATCTGGCTTAACTCTAGTTTAGTAAAAACGATCAGATTTTTCTGAAATTTTTTCCAAAGGTAGGTATTTTTACCCTAATTATGGGGATATCTTTTTTCTTGTGGACGTACCCGGTTACCCGGTTATTTGAGCCGGATGTTCGGGTACGGGTACCCGGTTATATCCGATTCTACGGATCCGGTTAATATAATATGGGTATCATTTTAAATATTATAAAAATACCTTTCCATTGAGTGGTAATATTTAATATCTCAAACCATTTTGGAGATATAGTCAAAAAACTGGGTTTTTGGTCCCCGATTTTTTGAAAAAACTCCCAAAAAGTCGAACTTGGGTCCGTTATAGTCCCTCTCCAATTTGCCCTTTCCAAAATGGTGCGATATGTGGCTGTATCTGTTGTGGATCAAAAGATATGGGCCTTAGAACTCTACAAAAACAAGGAAATTCTGTCGCGTAGCCGGTGTTGGTATCTGTCCATAGGAAAAAGTCTTAAATCCCCGGCCGAAGGCCGGCTACACCAAAAAATATTCTATTTAGAAGGAGTTTCTGTCGCGTAGCCGGTGTTGGCATCTGTCCATAGGAGAAAGTCTTAAATACCCGGCTGAAGGCCGGTTACACAACAAAAATTTCTATTTAGAAGGAGTTTCTGTCGCGTAGCCGGCGTTGGCATCTGTCCATAGAAGAAAGACTTAAATCCCCGGCCGAAGGCCGCTCACCCAATGAACACCAAGTTGTTTTAAAGGAGATTGGCATCTGTCCATAGGAGAAAGTCTTAAAACCCCGGCCGAAGGCCGGTCACCCAAAAAAATATTCTATTTAACAAGAAATTCTGTCGCGTACCCGGTGTTGGTATCTGTCCATAGGAAAAAGTCTTAAATACCCGGCTGAAGGCCGGTTACACAACAAAAATTTCTATTTAGAAGGAGTTTCTGTCGCGTAGCCGGCGTTGGCATCTGTCCATAGAAGAAAGACTTAAATCCCCGGCCGAAGGCCGCTCACCCAATGAACACCAAGCTGTTTTAAAGGAGATTGGCATCTGTCCATAGGAGAAAGTCTTAAAACCCCGGCCGAAGGCCGGTTACACAACAAAAATTTCTATTTAGAAGGAGTTTCTGTCGCGTAGCCGGTGTTGGCATCTGTCCATAGGAGAAAGTCTTAAATACCCGGCTGAAGGCCGGTTACACAACAAAAATTTCTATTTAGAAGGAGTTTCTGTCGCGTAGCCGGCGTTGGCATCTGTCCATAGAAGAAAGACTTAAATCCCCGGCCGAAGGCCGCTCACCCAATGAACACCAAGCTGTTTTAAAGGAGATTGGCATCTGTCCATAGGAGAAAGTCTTAAAACCCCGGCCGAAGGCCGGTTACACAACAAAAATTTCTATTTAGAAGGAGTTTCTGTCGCGTAGCCGGCGTTGGCATCTGTCCATAGGAGAAAGTTGTAAATCCCCGGCCGAAGGCCTGTCACCCAAAAAACACCATGCTGTTTAAAAAGAGATTATGTCATGTAGAAAGATTTTCCTTGTTTTTATAGGGTACTAAGGCCCATATCTTTTGATCCACAACAGATACAGCCACATATCGCACAATTTTGGAAAGGGCAAATCGTGGTCTATCATTGGACCGAGTTTTGGGGGGTTTTCAAAAAAATCGAGGACCAAAACCCAGTTTTTGACTATATCTTCAAAATGGTTTGAGATAACCCCATTATGTTACCACTCAATGGAAAGAATTTTTATAACCTAAATGAAACCCATTTTATATTAAACGGATCCGTAGAACCGGATATAACAGGGTACCCGTACCCGAACTTCCGGGTCAAATAACCGGGTACGTTCCCCAAGAAAAAAATATATCCCCATAATTAGGGTAAAAATACCTACCTCTGGAAAATTTTTCAGAAAAATCTGATCGTTTTTACTAAACTAGAGTTGTTCCCCGACAAATTACAACCACTTAGGTGGGATACCGTGCCTATAAACATCAAAATGTCTATGATGGATCGGGATCTTCATTAGATCCCTTCATTAGAAGAACTTATACCATTTTAGGATTACACTCTCTCTTGGAGTGGAGTAGTAGAATCTGGCTGTTTCTGGAAATGGTACAGGGTATTATGTGTTTGTGCATATGTTTGTAACAGGCAAATGGAAACGAGATAGACACATGGTTTCTTTTGAGAATGTGCATAGAATCATACATCCGTCCGTCCGTCTGTATGTCCATGTTAAATTATAAACAAAGTACAGGTGGCATTTTAGATTCGAATTGGATGAAATTTGGTCCAATGACGAACCCTATTGAAATTGGGAAAAATCGGTTCAGATTTAGATATAGCTCCCATATATATTTTGTCCGATTTTAGGTAAATAGTGCACCAAAGTCCCTATATATCCTTCGATTTGCATGTCCCTATATATCCTTCGATTAGGTCTAGAAAAATGTGTATTAAATTTCGTGAAAATCGGTTCAGATTTGGATATAACTACCATATATATTTTCGTCCGATTTTAGGTAAATAGTGCACAAAATTCCCTATATATCCTTCGATTTGTATGAAATTTAGCACAGCGCACTGAATTAAGTATAGAACGATGCACGAAATTTGGCATAGCGTACAGAATTAAGTCTATAATAATAAGTTTTGTGAAAATCGGTTCAGATTTAGATATAGCTCCCATATATATTATCGTCCGATTTTATGTAAATGGTGCACCAAATTCCCTATATATCCCTCGATTTGCACGAAATTTCGCACAGTGTACTGAATTAAGTCTAGAAAGATATGTGTTAAATTTCGTAAAAATCGGTTCAGATTTAGATATATATATTTTCGTCCGATTTTTTGTAAATGGTGTACCAAACTCCCTATATATTCTTTGATTTGCACGAAAATCGGCATATCGTACTGAAGTAAGTCTAGAAATCTGTGTGTTATATCGGTTCAGATTTAGATATAACTCCCATATATATTCTCGTCCGATTTTTTGTAAATGGTGTACCAAACTCCCTATATATCGTTCGTTTTTCACGAAAATCGGCATAGCGTACTGAAGTAAGTCTAGAAATCTATGTGTTAAATTTCGGGAAAATTGGTTCAGATTTAGATATAGCTCCCATCAGCAACGTACACAGGATTTCATTTGGGGGGCGGTAGTATAAAATGAAAAAAATCGGTGTTGCAAACATAAATTTACTGTGAATTTTCATTTCGGGGGGACCGGGCTGCCCCCCTGCGTACGTCCCTGGCTCCCATATATATTATCGTCCGATTTTATGTAAATGATGCACCAAAGTCCCTATATATCCTTCGCGTGAAATTTGGATTTATAAGTGAATGAAGAACTCAAAATGTGGTCGAATGCACAAAACATACTGTGAAATAGGTGTAACCTAACATGTGACAAGTTTCGATGAAATCGGTTTAGATTTCGATATTTTGCTTTAAATGTATTTTGTCCCATTGTAAGAAACAACTCTATATCAGACCAAAATTTAGTATAGGTTGCAGAGGTGCTTCAAAAATGCGACGTCTGTTAGGATTCCATCTGTTGAATATACCCAAAGTGGTGAAGGGTATCATATAGTCGGCCCCGTCCGACTTTACTGCTTTCTTTACTGGTTTCATTACTAATTACTCACCTCGAATTATGTGGAATGAGTTACGTAAGCTACAGCACCCTTAATTTGATATTTATTTATATATCTTTCTCGATAAATCTTCCTTCTGATTAATCACAGCTTTTTGAAAAGGGGAATATTTTTATTCCGAATTTTTATTGTGAATAATATTTATACGGAATATGATCAATAATTTGACAGCAATCATTAAATGTTAATTATTGTTTAATTTGCACTGAAAACAGAGGAGGGGGATTTTTTTTAATTTTAATCATATTATTCATAGTCTGCAGATTCACACCATTCCGTATAAATAAATCCAGTTACAGAACAAAAAGAAAACAATATTTTGTTGAGGTGAACACATTTTCTTTTTTTAGAGGACAATCAATCAATTAATTTAGCTGTTGTCCTACCTTCATATAGAGGAATCAGTATCTTTAAGAGCATGTACTTTGGAGTTTGGCGGGATTTTTTATATGAGAATTGTATGAACATATTTTCTTCGAGATTTTGAAAATCTTCTGAAAACGAAAATATGAAATGACAGTCAATCTGATACTGGGGTTAGAACCTTCAAATTACAAAAAAAATGGGACGGGATCTGTTCGAAAAAGGGGACACCTTCGATATAGCTAAAGTCGGTAGGTATGTTCTGCATATGTGCATGGGATTTTTTGTCTAAACATGGACGTATGCAAACAATTATTTTATCCTACAATAAGACAATTAAAGGCAAATGGTTAAAATCGTTCAAAATACCTCAAAGTGGACCATACTGTTTTATGGGGTCTAGCCAATATGCTTGTTGTTTTTACCGATAAATTCGTACCCAAGCAACGATAA